TACACCACTCCACATTGATATGTGCTCTATAACGCAAAGATAACTTCCTGTTATATGGAACCACCCAACTGTTATCAAGTCTGATACCATTTTTCTCAACAAAATCATCAGTATGTCTCCTCCTATAATGTGGAAAACCAATGTTATCAACAACAGTCCGATCACAGTATTTCTTTGGAAACATCTTAGAGCACCTTCCATTTACCATGCATGGAGAACTCTTATTTATATTACCACATGGACCATGTATCATGTTCTGCTTCACAATTTCATATAACTCAGGATCAGTTTTTTTATTAGGGATCTCAGCTGATATTACTTTATCTATTGACTCAGGTGTAGGAAATTTGTATTTGGATGCTATCCAAATCAAAATATAAGCATGAGGAAGTCCTCTCTTCTAGAATTCAATTGTATAGATTCCTGTAACATAGTATAATACATAATCAGTAGAGTAAAATATATGGTTTTTGTAGATGAAATGACAGAAACTCGATATATTAAAACATACCACAAACAGTTTCACCGAACAATTTTTTTTCAGTCAAATCTGTCATTAGGGATTCCAGCTTCATCTTGAATATACGACAACAAATATCAAGCTTGTCTTCAGGTTTCAGATTTCGTTTCTGGCAATACCTAACAATCTCTGGCCAGTTTGGATTGCAAGTAAAAGTGATAAATAAATCGGGAAATCCGAAGTATTTACAAATAGCCATTGCATCCAAGTAATTGTTATTCATGTACCTAGAACCACCAGTAAAAGATGCAGGAATCAAAATACGTTTTCCAATATTAGATAGATCACTTTGGCCTTCATTGTGCGCTTCCACTAAATTTACAAACTTCTCAGACCTGAGTTTTACTTGGTTGTCCCTGAAGTATCGTAATCTATTAGCTTCAATCATTGTAAATACGTCGACCAAAAATTGCTGGTATAGTTGTTTAGACAGAATTATTGCCTGAGATTCCATCAACCTATCCTGAATTCGATATGAATAACATTCTCTCATGCTGATAGTTTTCCTTTTTCTTTCCTCTTTATGTGAAAATCCATTTTCGATACCAACTTGATAGCCATATTCAGCATAAGGAAATAACAGAGGATATTGCAGAGCTAGATAACCGACGTATAATTCACTGATTCTTCGAAGACTTCCATCATTTGCTTCTAACATAATGTCTCTCTTGTCTAACCCTTCTTCGAAATCACCAGGAATTAATGCAGCTACTTCTGTTGCAGTTGGCAAGTTATGTGTTCTAGCATCTTTATCTCTCTTGGCTATTAGAACCATTCAGACAGTATCCTCAATATCTGCATTTTGGTACCTGTCCTTGTAAGAACGAAAAGCTTTAACCAACGGATTGCAATGATTTAACATCTTCATTAAAGCTTCAATTAACTCAGGCCGTAGCTTGTTGTCAATTTTTCCATTCTTGCTATAAAAGAAAACATTAAAATATATTCAGAATCGGTCAGAGTAAACACACTCAGAATTAAATCAATCAATAAATAATTATGTACCTTAATGAAAGTTCTCTGTTATGAATCTCATTAATCGTATCGTGAATATAAAGCTGTAAGAACTTGGGTGTTTCATTTGCATTAGGCATCAAACTACCAATAAGATGGTAGTTTTCACCATGTAGCTGAAAAACATGTGGTCCCTTACCTTTGTTTATATCATGATTTATTTTACCTCCTATAGAGGTAAAAGAAAACATCATGTTATATGCTCTGATGTTTTCACAGAAATGACGACAAATCTCATCATCACTTGTCAAGAGATGTAACAGTAGAGGAGGAGGTTGTTGTAACATGGGGAGCTTTACTTTTCCTTGCATACAACACAGCGTGAAAATGTATGTCTTCATCTTTTTTTCTTGCTGATCCTCTCGTTAAACCACATACGGACCGAGCAGTGGGTACATTGATAAACAGGGTCGTCATCATCGTGATAACCTATAACATGACGAATTTTAATTTATTATATATCAGTAAAACAGTAAGCTGATACATACAAAGTAAACTATGTTACCATTAGGCTGAATCACAGGTCCAATATCTACTTGAGATTGAACAGTACTACATCCAAGGACGTCACGATCATTTGAAGGTGTATAATTCCTTACTACACCTTCTAAAGATAGTGTAGATTGTAAACCACTTGGATCATCGATTGTTGAAGTTCCTGACAACACATTCATGTTCGTGAAAGTGAATGATATCAAAAAATTTAATCATAATGACGATAGACTATAGAAGACCTTGCAATACCCGACAATAATAATATTTGGGAAAGTAACATGAATATACATACCTGAAGCTTGAATATTTGCATGTCTCTTATTCAACATAACATGTCTCCTATTAATCTTTGACAATCTTTGATTCTCAAAAATGGAATTGCTAATGTTACTTAGCGGGTAACTTTGTGATTGAGGAATATGATCATTGGATGTATCTGTACAAATATTGAAGAAATACTAACAATTATTAAGACGTCCAATATTAATTTAAATTCTAAGACAATTCCCCTATAAACTTATACATGACTTTACCTTTCCTTTTCCTTGCAGAATTTGTTACTTGGTTTTTAGATAAAGCAGACGTCGATGAAGTAACATAGCCTATTTTTAGTAAACCAAACTATCAAAATGGTAGATAAGATAAAACATATTTTCTCTGTCATATACATCATAAATATACACTAATATTGCAACATATAGAATACTTGTACCTGATTGTGAAGTAGTTTTAGGTGATTTATTACATGGTTGCATTGCTTTCTCCATAGCAGAGTTCCAAAACAAAACAACTATTAATTGATAATATGAAGGACACCATTGTGATTAAGCAATCTCTTTAATTAGGCGAGTATATAAACAATCATGATATAACAACTAAGTTATTAAGGATACGTGCAGACTCTATCTTTTACATGTGTTGTATCTTGAAGGATCATCTCTTTGTTTCGCTAGTTGATGTAGATCAAGTAAAGAAAAACTCATTATATAAAATGGGAATGGTATAAGAGAAAGCGAATTAAAATAAATATAAACGTACGTGCACTTCTAGAACTTTTAGATGGACAACTCAATTCTAGATTTTCATTTCTTGAACTTGAAGGTCCAGCGTAGAAATTGAGATTTTTTGGAACATCTGTTATGTTTCTATCGGGTAAAACATATTTTCCAACAATCGGTTGGTCTAATTTTTCTGTAGATGAATAAGAAACAAAGTAGTTATATTTATAAGAATTTAAATTGATTAAAAAGATATTAAACTAAATGAATCAATATATATATAAAGCTTGATTATAATAAAAAGAAATATATATATAGTTGGCAGAAGCTGATTTGAGCCATAACATGGAGTGAATGGGCTTGCTAGATATTATAAAGAAAATATTTCAGTTAGAAAAGTGGTTTCATTCAGGACAACAAAAACATAAAGAAGAAGGGTTAAATAATACATGTTTGTGTGACAGTGTAATTTTCTTTTCCTGTTACTGATGTTATAGGAGAATAACAAAATATCAAGATAATACAGTTGTCAATGAATAATATGATTACAATGAAAATAAATATACTATGTACTTGGACTAAGTTGGTTCCTTTTAAGACAACTTGAAGCACTAGGGTTATTTCGGGTATTATTGATATCTCCCAATATATTTCAGAAAACACCAGGAATTGAAATTGGAACTGGCAATGCTTTTCGTTTAGGGGTAACTTCATTCTGTCCATTGGGATCTGTATATAATAAAAACTTCAAGGTTTCACTCCATGTTTATTAACTAATTACGAAACAATCATAAATAGTTGAGCAATATAAGTTGTTTAATTGTTTCATCTTGGCCGACTGGAAATAAATATAATACGTACTCAAACTACACTGATTCCTTTTTCGAGTACTTGAAGTTCTCGGGATGTTCTGAATATTACTGATATCTCCCAATATATTTTCGAAAGCATCAGGATTTGAAATAGGTACTGGTAATGGTACTCGTGCAGGGATAACTTGATTATGTCCATTGTGTTTAGTAAATAATCAAAAAATAGATATAAAACTTTTAGATAGACCATTTATAAATGAATTCTTAAGTAATAAATTGTACTGAATTAAGAATATCAAAATCCGAGTATAAATTTGAGTTTATTAGTGAATGAACCATAAATTTTATACCTGGGTTGATGAAATCAAATTTCGGTCTTTTGGTTAAGATGTCATGTTCATTATCCATTGCAGAAGACGATTTTTTGTTCTTTTTCATTTTTCTTCAGATTTGTGCGAATGTAGAGAATCGATATATGAGTAGGATATATTTAATATTAAGAAATGAGAAGTAGTAGGCATCTTAATAGGATAGTTATAATATTCTGAAGATTTGTTAAGATTACAAATAAATTGAGAATTTATCTGAACATGGAAATTTTCAGAATTAAGTGAAGTTGATTTGGTTATAATTGGTTGTGTAATATTCACCAATTAGCAACTATATACGACATAATAGGGTAGGTATGATTGTTCTTCTAATATTGTAAAATGTAAATATATTTTTATATTTAAATATAGAGTTGTTTTAGGATACAACTCTAATCGTTAGTGTAAAAAAATGTCTGTATTGCCAAAGTAATAATGGCTCCATATATTTTGCATGAATATTGTAAATGTTTAATTGCCATGCAGAATTTCTTTTGATATTAGGCTTGATTGTCCAAACAATCCCTATATGAAACGGTATTTTGCTTTGTTATTTATACTGATAAATGAAAATTCAGCATTTATTAATTAACATAGTAAAACATAATATAGTTAAAAATTCCTGCTTTTATTAAACTTCCAAATAACAAATTTCCAGAACATCTGAAAACAGAAAATGAAAAATCCTAAGGGCAAGAAACAAAATAACCGAAACATAAACAATGAGATATTGTAGTAGATCCTAAGAAACAAAGCAAGCAGGATAATGCATCTTGTTAAAGAAACGAAGACTTCAGTCATCAACTTTCTCCTTCTTAACAAGCTTCAGAGAAATCGTTTCTTCACTCGATCCAGTCTTCATGTCCACAGTGAAAGGTTTCTTAGAAGTAGACTGCTCTCCATTAGGATCATCCAAATCAATCATCTCCTCGCTTTTCCTTTTTGACTGTGGTGAATTATCATCTTCGCCACTGTCAAGTAACATCTTAGGAACCTAAATTGACAGGTGTGAACAAATACTGTTATTTATAGACATATAATCTTAATGAGAGGCATCTAATAACAATATAGCATACCTGTTCATCGGGAGTTATAAACCCCATTTCTTCAGACTTGACATCAGGGGTAGTCTATAAATAAATAAGTTAACAATGATCAAAAGACAATGAAATTGTTGTAGTAATATGAATAAATAGTTTAGGGATCAAACCAAAAATTCGGATATTTCTGAGAATTCTTTGACCATGTCACTTTGGGTCACAATCTTTGTAACTTTGTAGACGTCACTGTTGAAAACGATGTTTGAACTCTCAATAGATAGTTTGAACAGATAAGTTTTCCCACAAATGTTACTAATTGGAAGAGGTAGCACGTCTGGGTCTTGGATCTGCACGCAGATTAGCAAACATATAATTTTGTAATATATATAGTAAGATTGACTATAATAGAGTTGATAGTAAACTGAATAAGTACCTCTTCCACAGATTCAGTCAATTGTGTAGCTGTTTGATTTACAACTTCCATGGCAAGCTTATCAAAGATTAAGAACTTTGTTTCGCCAGTGTTGTCCATAACACGGAAAGTCAGCATAAACCTAAGTTATCATAGGAGAATATATAAATATTAATATATTTCGTAAATAGTTAAAATATTTGTTTATAACTAAAACTTTTGTACAAACTTACGCTGGTACGACACTTTCAACATCATCCTTACATTTGCCACATTTCCATAACTGTTTAGCAAATGGCTTCCCAGGATATTGCTCTTTCAACAAATTCATATCAAGAGGAAACACCTTTTTTTAGCATACTTTGCATGACATATAGTACCATCCAAACTCAGTGTCGATCGACATGATGGTAGCCATAGTCACACTTTTCTCAACCTAATCATTTAAACATTGCTAAACTTTTAAAAAATGAAGAGCATATGTTGTTTAAGAAATATGTGTCTTAGAATGAAATAAATACCTCAGAAGCACCAAGTATTTCACTTATTATCCGGCGAGGGGTATGTAAAAAGAAATCATCTCTTACAGAAACAGAATTGACAATGGTCAATTGGTTAGGGTGTGTGTATGACAAAGTCACATCATCCTTTGGTAAGCTGTAAAGGAAATTAAATTGATGCATTTTAGTAATATGAAAGTAAACTAAAAAGCAAAGTGTAAAAGTTTTTGTTTTTATAAATATACCGGTATTTAAAAGCATTTATTTCAGGGAGATCAGGATCTGTCATCTTAATTGAAGAACTGTAACAATTACCAATGCTCCAAACACCTAAATAATGAAATGGCTTAAAAGTTATGTATAGTTATAAAAAACGATATTTTGCTTGTATAACTAAACATTTGTTTCTTGTCTTGATACAATCTTAACTTTCCAAATTGTAACACGAAAGCAATGGTAGCATTGGTTGCATGTGTAGCAACACTCTCCAACTTTCGGCATAATTCCCCCAGAGACACAATTC